CTGAACTAAAAATAAGGGGAAATTATTTGCATACCGGTAAGTGTTTTAAACCCTCATTTTACCAGGTAAATAAGATGATCTGCTAATGGAACAGAAATCGCTGCCCTTAAAATAAGAATATTAGATATTAGGCACTTAAGATAAGTTTTCTTATTTTAAACATAAATTACCTTTTTCTATTGGCTAATTTTCTCACTGAACAGTTTAAAAAACAAAACAATAAAAAAACACTTATTTTAAAGAAAGATGAACTTAGATCTTTGCAGTGTTAAAGTGATAAAGCACAACATCAGCTTAATCTGAGAATCCAGCATATTTTTATTAAAAGTTTATATTAGATGCCTTGATGCCTTACACTCAAGTAGGGTTTGGAGAACCTTTGAAAGAGAAACAGGCCCACAGCATCCCAGATGCTCTGCTGTACTCAACAGTGGGAATTTGTTGCTTTTCCAACATTTTCATCCTTTTTCAAACAAAGTCCACCACAGTGTTGCTGACCAAAACACACAGTTCCAGTTAGTCCCAGCATGTTTTATTTTTTAATTCCTTAAGTTTACATGTTTTATAATAGAGCTGAAAAGCTGTTTTATATATGCCTCACCCCTAAGTAATCATTTGGTCGATAGCATCCACTGGTCGTTATAGATACTAGGTCATCCCAAGCTCCCATCCCTCTGGCATCCTGCCTCACTGTGCTTCTCTAACATCCTCAAGGCAGGTGGAAAGGAAAATCCTTACCTCGGTGTCAGGCCATATTATGTCCAACAGGGGAAGAAAGATTTATTACTAATTAGTTTCTTGGAAACCCTAACTAGGTATAAATAAAGGATACTCCAGCTATATTGTTTGTAAAAGGCTCCAAGTAAATGTGCCATTAAGAAAACAAACAAATTATTTTATAACACAGGATTTTCGTCTCCCCTCTAAATAAATGCACATACCACTGGAGGATTTAGCTTTAAACACCTTTTATAATATGTTTTTTTCTGACTGGGAGTAATTTTGGTAATTTTGAGAGTTTAAAGTTGCCCAACCAGGATCTGGATCTGATTCTAACTTCAAATACACGTTAAAATAGCAACAGAAACACACATAAAAGAGGTTTTAATTATAGTTATGGTGAAATTATTATATTCAATAAAGTATTTTTAAGTTTGTCCAGAGATTCTGTTTAAAGATGGATTCATTTTAATTTATTAAAAGTGATTCCCTTGACGTATTACATATATATATATATATATATATATATATATATATATATATGTTTTTTTTCTCACCTAACTAATGATGTCAAATGAACAATTCTGCTTATCCAAATCTAACATTCACTGTAAATCTCATTAAATTCATAGACTTCCTCTTACCTTTTACTTAATCTGTCTTAGAAAGCAGGAATATTAAAATAACCTGTGAGAAAATACAGAATGGTGAAGAATTAAAGGGAAAAGACACTAAAGGGGAGACAAAGATAGAATATGAGGGTGGAGTAACTTAATGGACATAATTACTGTTTGATCAAGATATTTACACAGTTTACATAAGCTTCAGTTAAAATGTTTACAATGCAAAAATATTAAAGGTATATCATGCGTATTAAATGTTAGCCGTCATTGTGTATAGCACAAAAAGGTAAACTCATTGTTTTTGTAGGCACTCAATAAATTGACTTCATAAGAAGAATAGATCTACACATTGAAATATTGTTGAAAACAGGTAAAATGAATGTTGCGTTTCTAATTGTGTGTTTGATTAAGAAGGTTTTTACACATAAAACACCAAATAGAAAATTAAAGCATAATTTGAAACATATTAATGAAAGAGAGACCCCACAATAAGAAAGAGTCACATTACTGTCCTTATATAACCTTTTCCACAACACTGACAACCTCATAAAGACAAAAATACTTTTATCCTCAATCAAAATAAAAACATCTCTACTTCTTATTTTTTTTAAATATCTTGTTATACTGTTAAGCTGTACACTGCATTGCATCAGACTTTTGGGGAAGCATAATTAGCCAAAACAGTATCCCTTGATCCAAATGTGAATGCAAATTAAACGTTTAAAAAAGTCATTTAAAAGGAATTTTATGTAAGCTAATTAACTGTGCCTTTCAGAAGTATTCATACAGCTAAAAGTTTGCCCCCGGTTGTCACTTTTTAACCACAAACTTCAGCGTTTTACTAGCATTATATAAGGCCAATCAACTAAAACTAGAATGGGGGACTGGTGAGAGGTTTCAAATAACTCAAAAACGAGTAAATATCTTTAAAGTGCTTATCTATAATAATCCCTCTCTACTTTAATATCTCTAAATATAATCGAGTAAAACCAGTTGCCATCCATCCTGACTCAATTAATAAATAAAGTCCATCTATCTGTAATACCAAGTTTGGTTAAATAACAGTATAAGTGGATAAATATTGTGTGGACAAAAAGAGCAGAGAGGGAAAGAAGAAAAGTGTGAAATAATTTAAAAAAATAGGTTGATTATAAAACAATATGCTAACCCTAGGAAATACTGTGAAGCTCTGTTTAATTCATTATATGAAATAGAAAATGTGCAACACAGCAAACACATCAACAACTGATTAAATCAACAGGCTTTATTTAGAAAAAAGTAAAAACGTACCTGAGCACTAATATGACCTGTGTGGTAGTAAAACAAGAAGAAATTCATAAAAGCTTTTTAAACAGGTATTAAGAAGGTACTGATGAGGTTAAAACTGAACAAAAACAAGCAAAAGAAAAACACTGAATTTTGCCAACAAAACTGTGTAAAATGGTGATGATGAAATCTTGCCATGTGGATGTTTTTATTCAGCTGGGATGGCGGGTTGAGAGGAAGATTAAGAGGTAAATACATGGAAATCCAGGGAGAAATTATTTTAGAAGCTGCAAAAGGCCTAAACAGCGATGGAAAGATTCACCTTTCAGCAGGGCAAGCACCCTGAACATTACAAGTGGAATCTCCATATTTTTATCTACATCAAATACCATGTATGCTTTATATCGCTCTATTAATCTCAATAAAGCACATAGTTGGTTGTAGTTGTAACACTTACTACTTTAGCAAGGCATTCTGTCAGAGCAATCTTATCAGCAGAGGTGTCAAGTAACTAAGTACAAATACTTCCTTACTGTACTCAAGTACACTTTTTAGGTATCTATACTTTACTCCATTACTTATTTTTCTTCCTACTTCTGACTTCTACTCATTACATTTTCACACAAGTATCTGTACTTTCTATTCCTTACATTATTAAAACAAACATTACAGTTTACTCTGGGCTTTGGTTTAATGTTTATAAATATTTATTTCACGTCATGTGCGCCATCCAATGCAGATCATTGGCGCCATCCACATCTAGTGAAAACTAGTGTAATTGGATGAGTCATATAACGCAAACACTTATTGGTTAGCTAAAGGAAATCATCAGAAGCAAGCTGGTGTTCTTCAAACTGCAAACGTGAATTGTCTATGCCATGCTACAATGTAGGATTCAGGAAAAGATGTTAAAATGTCTGAAAGGTCGGACACGGGCGAGAGCGTATCGGGAGATGGAGACCAACAAGACCTCCCTCATTCTTGGCCCTATCTCAAAGAATTTTTCAAAATATTTGAAAAATTGAGCTTTCAATTCATATAGTGGCATCTGGCTGCTTTGTTTTTTTTAAAGGTTAGTTTATTGTTTTATACTTTAAGTAGTTTTTGGAGCACATACCTTTTCACTTTTACTTGAGTAAAGAGGTCAAGTTGATACTTCAACTTTTACCAGCGTGTTTTTAAACTGCAGTATCTATACTTCTACTTAAGTAACAAATTTGTGTACTTTTGGCACCACTGATTATTGGCACCTAATGATCTGGAAATATTCATAACTAAGATTTAAAATATACCAGAAAGGAGTCTATATAGTCATTCTTAATAATGTGACACAAAACTCATGTTAAAAAATATCAGGAATGGTTCATTGGATTATGTAGAAGTTTTTGAAATTTTGTTTTATGGGGATTTACTCATCTTAAAAAAATCAGGTGTGTTTAGAGACTAAATTCAACCTGAATGCACGAAATTTCTTCTTGTGTGTGGTATTTTTGCTCTTTTTATCTAATTGTTCATAGTTTGTCTGTATAAAACTTTTAAGACAGCGTTATAAGACCACAATAGTGTCAATTCCCTTAAAAAGATATTAGGAAAACGACATGAACTGTCAGATATCATCCTTGAGGGATTAATCCTCCTTGATGGCCACCCTCGCATCAGTCTCTATTGTTATTAAATTGCTGTAACTCACGGGGTTTCATTCATTAAGCTGCATTCCCCTTTTTCCAACCCTTCCCCCATTTTACTGCCGAGCAATATTTGGAAGAGAAATGGACGACTTCCCCACCAAACGGCGCAGACAGAGTGGGTGTGTTAGTTACACGTCGTGTTACACAACATCCAGCGAAGTAAACGCACATATAAATTCATATATTTGAAGGACAAAAAATAATGTAGACAAACGGTTAGTACGTTTCTAAATCCTTCACGAGCAGGAAAGCCGTGCCGTTCAGCAAATTTAACAGAATAATGTTAGAGAAATGAGGAAACACTTTCTACGCTTCGTGTAAAGCTACACCTGTATAGATATGTTTTCGTGAAATATGTTAAATAGTTTAATTTTCTTCGTAACATGCATGCTACACTAGAGTGCCCTCTGCTAGCAAGCTGCCATTTCTAGTTCCACTCTACAGAGACGTCAGTTGAGACACGGTTTGTATGCGTCCGCGATTTTTCGTTTGAGGGGGAGGGGGCTACGTACAAATAAGCAAAACCGAAACAAACCCAACCGAAAATAAAACTAACAGTAAAAGCTAGTGTTATATTTATGTTTAGGCGATTAGTGCTTTATATCTGGTGAAACGTTATGCTGCGCTGCGAGCTGTACGTAGCGCACTAGCTTGCGCTCGGCGGATGAACACTCGACGGGCGGGACTATGTGTGAGCTAGGCTGAATGGAGGCTGCCTCTTCCTGGTGGGTAAACAGTGACAGCTACAGGGCAGCCACCTAGACCAAGCACACAAGCTCTGGCGCTGCCCTGGCAAACAACACCCAAAATGGCTTCAGACAGTACACACATCGCGCAGTTGACTTCTGGTGAGTAAAGTGAGAACGGAGAGTGTGTCACGGCTTTTTTTAACAGCCCCCCAAAACGTTCCTCGGTGCCCTTTTCTAACGCAGCTCCCGTCCTCTTCTCCCCCTCCAACCGTACCAGAACTGTACTTCCTAATAGCCCGGTTTCTAGAGGCTGGACCGTGCCAGAAAGCCGCCGAGGTTGGTGTTTGTGTGTTTTAGGTGAATTTAGGAAACGTCCTAAAATGTCACGAGGTGTAATTTTGCGTTTTTATCCTATTTTCAGACCCTGATAAGGGAGGTGGAGGAGAAGGAGGTAAGCAGTCAGCACTGGGAGAGGAGATGCTTCTCTCTGCACTGTACTGTGATAGTGCCTTCACTTTGAATTATCATTTAATGTTTTAAAACATCACTCCACACATTTATGAACTGGATCCTCACACTGCACACATCTTTCTCTATTTTAGCTGCTACCCAGAAGGCTGGACTGGACAGGGCAGGAGCACCCCGGGACCTACAGAAATTTGGTAAGCTGCTCTATAACCGAGGGAAAAAGTTTTTAGAGAGCAAAATAAAAATTGAATTTCCCGCAATTTTTAAATCAGGTGGCAAAGAAAGAAGCCAAAGGGAGTTTTAGGGTGAGCTGGTTCCTGGTTGGGTGCTGTTTTGCAGCACTGAGTCAGGTCCAGACCCCATGTGCAGGATGGGATTCGGTGCTTGGCAGGTCTAAAAGGTTTAAATAGTTGTTGGGAAATAAGTGTGCGAAATGGTGATACGTCACGAGTGCTGTGGTGCAGGAGCGCCAGGATCAGGAGGAGGGACTCCCTGCGCCACAAGCCTGAGATGGAGGCGCTCTTGTCCTGCAAGGAAGCAACATTTGTGTGTGCATGGGGAGTTAAACAATCTGACTTTTTTTTATTTTTTAAGGAGATATAAACAGCAGATAGTAGTAATGCTGATCTGTTGGAGCTCCCTGCTCTCTGTGGAAGCAGGTTTCTTCTTTTTTTTTTTTGGACTGTGTGTGTGGGAGAACTTGGATGCAAGTTGGAGTGCAGATCAGATGAGATGAGAGGTAACTTTTTGCAGATTTTTTTGTATTATAGATGATAATTTGAAGGGTAATTATTATGTAAACAAACAAAGGTTTGGCCACAAACCTTTGTGCATGGAGGGGCTGCATGCAGACTGTTTATCGCTTACTTTCGCTTGCATTCATCAGCTTGCTTTCTTGAACTGATTATATTTTTTTCCCAACTTTAATTGTTTTATTTAAATATTTGCATATTAGAATCAGATCCATTTTAAATAAAAAAAAAACAGGTTTTTATGTATTATTATCTATATAAAACGTGCGGCTAGAGATGGAAGGTGTTTTGCGCTAAAGACACAAATCTGAATGTTTAAAGGGAATTATTGACAGCATGTTTTTATGCCTGACTGCGTTTCTTTTTCTCACTCCCCCTCCTCCTCTTCCTCCCCCTCCTCCTCCCTTCTTTAGCCCTTCAGCCTTGCTCTCTCTCTCTCTCGGATCTATTGTGTATCAATTCCCAGTGTTTTATACAGTATTTAAATAAAATATGCTGCGTTTTTTAATTATTAGACCAAACGTGAAGGCATCGGGTCCTGCAGATTTTTAAGATCTCGGTGTGCTTGCTTTCCTATCAAAGGAGGGAGGGTGGAGATGGGGGGGGCTGGGCAGCGATGAGAACAAATGCAGACCTCGTTGATATTGTTGTAATTAACAATATTAATTATGGTTAATTAATTGAAGGGGGTATTAATTAGATTAATTTGATATTTAATGATTTCCATTTTCCAAATAAACCTGATGCACATAATCTAATTGAATGTTTTCTTTTTTAATTAGATTTTTTTACATTATAACAGAAATTATAATTTTATTAAATGGTTTGTTTAATTATTTTTTTTTTAATTTAAGAGCAAAACAGATCAAGTGAATTAGAATAGGAATTTTAGCGTGTGATTTATTTTTTTACTGTTTTCATTTGAAGGCTAAAGGAATAAACAGCTTAACTTGGAGTGGGTGTGAGAGACCATGTGTTCTGTGAAGGGGGGTGTGTTCCCTTCTTTCTGAGGGAAAATGGAGCCAGTTGTTTTTGTTCATCTTTCACTTATGCATATGAGGAGGATGTTTTTTTTTTTTTTCTATTTATTTATTTTTATATGTGCTGTTCTTAGATCAGTCTGAGACATCCTCTAATATGTGCTTGGCAACACTGATCACGTCTCAGCGGCCATCAAGGATGTTGCAAGCAATTAAAGGCTATCTGCGTGTGTGTGTCACCAGGAATAAGTTATGGTTGCGGCTCGGATAAAGAAATGGAGAAAATTAGTATGTTTAAAGGGGTCGATGTGTAAAGACTGGCCTATTATCAGTGGCTGATATGAATCGGGTGCTTTGTAGCGTGTTTATTTGTATATTTTAAGGTAGGATCTGGTTTTCTTAAGCGCACAGGGGCAGTGGTGTTTCTGTTTTTTTCATTCCGTGGTGTGTTGCACGCCCCTTGACTCATCCAGGCATGTGTGTTTCCTCAGAAGTAGGCCATGCAAGAAAGTACCCCATGTGTCAGTGGATTCAGTGACACACTGTGTTTATAACAGCCTGTTTTCTTTTTTTTTCCTGCCTCACGGTTATGTTGCGTGCCACTCCCCCCTCCCCTCCTCTTTATTCTCTGCTTCTGTGGCGACGTGAAGTGTATCTACATTTAAAACCATTATCTGTGTGACATTTTGTGTTGCATCCTCCTCTTGGGCATGGCTTAATATGTTTTGCGTTTAGCAGCAGGATATAATTCATCAAATGTTCTGTGATCAGCTGTTTTGCTAGCCCCCTGTTTTATTTCTTATAAAATGCAATAGAGAGTAAAATTCTCCCTAAGTTTTTGGTAAATTAACATAAGCTGGTAGTGACCTTAATCTTTAAATGTTGCTTATCATAGTCAGGGTGGTTTTAAATAAAAATTATGCAATACAAGACTTTGTATGTACTCTGAAAATGTTACTTTGGCTTCAAGTTTAATGATAAAATAACTGAATATTGGAGCAGCCCTCATCTGGTCAGTTTTACTTTTCAATTCTACTGCTGTTTCATGATATATTAATATTCTGATTTATTAGTAATTGCAAGCGTACAGTACAGCTCTTAGCAATCTGGGGTCAAAGTGTTTTTCAAGGGCCCAGAGTTTCAGTTTATGGGGTTTAAACCAGGTAATTTCCTCCCTCTCAGAACGCCAACGCTCTGCTATAACCACAGCTCTCCCTTCATTTTAACTCAGATATTTAGAGGTAAAAATTGTGTAATATGATCGGGTTACCTTTAACTTATTAGAAAAAAACAACGTTATTGTTTTCTGCTTAACAGTGATTCAACATGTTAAATGTTTCATCTATAAGTAAAGATATCTTGAACATATATTTGCTATTTTTGTTTAGCTATGTTGTGTAAAGTAAACTCAGCAAAAATAAAATTTTAAAGCTCTTTATTCTGCATGATATCCCACCTCTAGCTTGTCAATTAGTCAGTCTTAGAGGGTTAACTACGGGAGCCTTTTTCAGCTACCTGACAGGCAGTGCATGGTGAGAGGTAAAACATGGTGCTCCTTTCGGAAATATAAAACTCTACTTTTGTAAAATAAATAAATAAATAAAAATATTAAAGTAGGGCTAAAATAATTAACCAGATTAATTGTCATTAATGGATTATTGAAATAACATCAACTTTAACTGTTAACTGGAGTATAGATAACTCTAGAACATGCCTTTAGCTGACAGAGAAATCAGCTTAGAGCAGTAATTATACAAAAAATGTATAAAAATTTTGCATTTAAGATGTGAAAATATAACTATAAAATGTCTGGCAGTATGCTCCTTCTAGAACTCCTTAAGTTGAATAGTTTGAGTTTCACCTGGTTTAATTTTGTAAAAAATTTCCTTTAAAGAACCTTTGGCTATTCGACTCAATTTAAAAAAAAAATCAACACATCAATTGTTTTGTAAAATAATTAGTTGCAGCCTTACTTTAGAGAAACTTTTCTCTTTTATAATTTTCTTAATTTTATTTGATAGTTTTTTTTTATGTTGGCGCTTTATTTTAGTTGTGGCTGGCGTTATAGTGCTTTATGATAAAGGGTTAGTATGACGAATGAAGATTTAAGAGTCCTGAAAAGATGGAGCCTACTGAATCCTGAAGGCTTGTATGCCTCAGTACCAATAACCTGATTTACTTTTCTTCCTTCGGTGTCTTTAATCCAAATGTTTTTTAGAAGTGGTATTTTCAAAGTAGATACTTTTTGCAGACTTGTCAATGAAATAAGGATCAGGAATTGAAAAAAATGCTGACTAAAGATGCCCCCGCCAAGACGAAAACAACTCGTTGTGCTTTTGCTCTGAAGTTACAATTATGTTTTTTTTTTTTTCAAACTAGCTATAAATGGAGTAAGAGTGAGGAAGATGTGCTGGGGGGATAAAAAATAACCCACCAGCCTTCACGCAAGCTTTCTTCTTCATAAAGCTGAACTCAAAATGTGTTTATTGCTTGTTATTTTCTTTTCCTAACTATGCTTGTCAATTATTTCAGTCAAACTGAGCCAAGCCTTCTGTCTTTGTTCATTCAGTGTGAACAAATAAGAGCTAACCTGAGTGTGTGCTGGTTTGCAGGTGAAGCTCTACAGACATGTCACTCCAGACCACCTGCTGCAGGTTTGCTCCAGGGTTTGTCCGCTGCTGGAGAGGGAGGTCCCCGCCAGCGTGCCGGGCCTCACCAGCCTGCTGGGGGCCGGCAGGCAGAATCTTCTACGCACCAGCAAGAGTAAGTGGAACGTTCAATTTATGGTGAACACACTGCCAGCAGTTCTGCATTATTTATGTGAAGGCTGTCATAGAAACTTTTGGGAATTAAATGTAAATGTTATGTTTCAGAGAACCGGCTTTAATAAGTTCAGACCAAGCTGAAAGTGTGCTCCGTATAAATCTCTAAACCGTGAGTGTTTCTGCTTCTCCTGTTCTTCCAGGCTGCAAACATGTTGTGTGGAAGGGTTCGGCATTGGCAGCGCTACACTGTGGAAGACCCCCAGAGCCACCCATTATATATGGGAGTCCGCCTAATATTGGTACAGAATACACTTATTTTTGTTTTATCCCAAACATGCATGCACCATCACAGATTCACCTTGGTATGATAACCTTGAGTAAAAACACTCCTCATCACCTTTATTTACCCCAACTAACAGAGGAATAACTACTATTTTTACTCCTTTTTTTCCCCAGCATGACCTTGTCATTTTTCTTTACATTACATTAAACTGTCATGTAGTGGCAGTGGGCTGCCATTCTGCGCTGCCCGAGGAGCAGTGTGGGTGCTGAATAGGTGTGGGTGCGCCACACTGGGTGGTGTCTTGCCAGGGAGCCAGAGTGGCAGTCTGTGGGTGTGGGACTTGAAATCAGAACCTCAGGATTCCGTGTGCAGGCACTAGCTTGCCTATTCCCAGCTGGGATACTTACCAGTTGAGCTAGCCAGCTGCTGGATACTCCTGTAGAAGAATGACCAGTTCTAATGATTGGTTATTTGTTATTGTTGAGTTTGGCTCACAAAGCTAAATTATAGAAGTAAAATAAGGTAATGATAGCTGAGTAGCTACCGTATTTTCACGACCATAAGCCGCACCGTACTAAAAGGCGCAGTCTCAGTTATGTGTGTCATTACTGTATTTAACACACACATAAGGCACACCGGATTATAGAGCGCGGGTTTTATATACCGGTACATATCCTCTACTACGTTTAAATACCTAAATAGAGCGGTAGCAAAACTGAGTATGATGGTGCTTTATTCATGTATTTATTACAAAGTATTAATCAAACACATCAAAGTCATCATCCTCTGTTTCTGAATTAAACAGCTGCACTAAATCAGACATGCCAATTTCCCCTTCTTCGCTGTCAGAGTCACTTTCCGTGCCGTGCGGCTCCTCAGAAATAATGCCGGCTTTGCGAAAGCTTGAACAACAGAGCCAGCAGACACGTTAGTCCAAGCATCAAAAATCCATCCGCAAACTGTGGCGTAACTTGCCCGGCGCTGCCTTCCACTTTTCGTGAAACTGTGGTCTCCGTCGTTCATCCATCGCTCCCACGATGCTCGCAGCCTTACTTTGAACGGCCGGTTCACACCGACGTCGAGCGGTTGAAATTCCTTTGTCAGACCTCCCGGGATAACAGCAAGCACAGTGTTCATTTGTTTCACCTTTTTTTCCACATCGGCTGTGAGATGGGCACGCATGAAGTCACAGATTAACAGCGATGGTGATGTGTAGAAAAAACCACCTGGTCTCCTTACAAACACCTCTCTCAGCCACGCTTTCATCATCTCCTCATCCATCCAGCCCTTTTCATTTGCCTTCGACTCGACTCCAGCTGGGAAAAGTCTCTTTAGGCAAAGTCTTTCTCTTTAAAATCACCATAGGCGGCAGTTTCTGTCCATTTGCGTGGCAGCCAATCCACGCCCACACTTCCCCCTTTAACGTTTTCATGGCTGTCACAACAACGTCCGCAGTAACAACACACATAGGGCGTACCGCACTATAGGGCGCGCCGCACATTTTGAGGAGAAAAAAAAGACATTTATATGCACCTTATAGTCGCGAAAATACGGTAGTCAGATTATCTGCCCAGGTAGCCAGCTGAAACCTGGTTGCATGCAGCTTGATGATTATAAACAGAGTGATGAGCGGCGCTTCTTTTGATAGAATTTGTCTTGTTTGTTAGAGAGGAAAATATGTTGCAGCTTTGTTTTTTGCAGGCTTGGGTGTTGCCTTTTAACTACCCTGATCCTGAACTCTTTTCTCACAGTTACCATTTCTTCCTGGGTTTTTATGGGGTTTTTTTTATCATGCAGTGGAGACGAGCTACAGTCGTCGACTGAACGGCTCCTACCGTCTCCGTCAGCTGGTGCCCACAGCGGTGTACCAACACATGAAGATGCACAAGAGGATTCTGGGACACCTGTCGTCAGTGTACTGTGTGACGTTTGACAGGACGGGCCGCCGCATCTTCACGGTAAGGATTCACTGTGGGTGTGTGTGTGTTCGGATGTTGGGCTGACCTCAGGAGGGATCCACATGCTGATACCGGAGTTTTAAGGAGCTTATTTAGCTGGAAACATGTTGGTAGCTTTGTGTTCAGTCTCTAATTACAATATCTTTGCTGTAGCAGTTCTGGTAGGAGGTATTTTAGTCATTCACACGGCGGCAGGATGTAGAGGGAATAAATCAAACTAATTTGAACTAATGCTTATTGTTTGTTTTAGATGCCTGATTTTTAGTCGAGTTAAACATTGCTCAAACATTAGAGCTGATGATTGTTGATTTAAACACTGCGTGCTGCATTACCACTTCCAGCGTCTCGCTCCTTAAATCTCTAAAAATGGTGGGCTGCTGCGAATGAAGGCAGGGTTAGATTGCTTGTTATCCGTCCCCCGTTTTCTCTAACCCTTCTTCATCGTGGCCTGTCCCTCCTTTGTTCTCTTTCCTCTTCGTTCTCCTTCCTGCTATTTCTCTTCTTAACTGGAGAAAATGTTTCCTCTGAGGGGCTGGCTAAGTGCCAGAATTAAAATTCATCTTTGCTCTCTCCTGTCATTCTCTCGTTCTGTCTCTTTTTTTTTTTTTCTCCTTTGTGCTCATTTTTCCCTCCTGCCGTCTCCTATCATCAGTTTTATTTATTTATTTGCTTATTTTTGGATCTCTTCGGTCTTTAGGCTTCAACCCTGTATGATTGAATTTATAAATTGTTGAGTGCGGCCTAAACATGCTCTTAGATCATTACATTCAATGAACAAGTGAGTGTGGTTTAGCTTAAGCGATTGATTCGCAGGCGTTCATATTGATTTTTGTAATAAATCTCAGAAATCGGTTGAAGCTCATTATCAGGATCATTGAAATGACAGATGAAGATTACTTCATTTGGATGGAAAGTCTGTTAAAGTTTTATTTTTCTTTGCATCCATATATTTTCCATTCAAAACTTTCAAGTTTTTAATGATTGATTGAAAATAGTCGATTGGAGTATTTAGGTCTAAATAATTTGAAGAAAACAACACCCGAATATTAGTGGACATTTAGTCCATCCATCGTTTTTGTCTCTTTTATAAAGTTTGATCTTTCGCTTATTCCCTGTCATAATTTGGCTACATAGCTATAAATAAATAACTAACAATTAACGGGATTTTCATATATGAGATGAACACCACTTCATTATGTATTAGATTTTTTTTCATTGCTGTGCTTTTGCATCTCAATGATGGTTACCTGTTGTGTTTCTAAACTGTGTTGAGATCTTAATTAAAGCACAGATGGATCTGACACCGTGTTAAATCACACAACATTTAACCCTCAGCAAGCTGGATCCCAGCCAGGAATTTCCCCCCTGAAGGCGGGTTTCATGCCTGAATTGAGCTCTTGATCTCCTCTGTGAGGACTGAAGAATGTCGACGCAATCTATTTGGCCGCTTTTCTTTTAAATGCTGTGTTCATTCTTTGCCCAATTTTCTTGACGTTATTTGATGCGATACTTAAATGATGTGTGGTTTTTGATGCTATTTAAGGCGTTTGCTATCTGGTTGATGTCCTTTGGTTAAAAAATGTCAAAGCATTTGATTTTTTTGACTTCAAATATTTTTTTTTATCATTCTACACCATAGTCTGTTTTTGGCAGCAGTCTTACTTCACTTTATATCAATAAAATTTGAATTTCTTTTGCAGTCTCAAGGAAATGTTACCAACACTTTTAAATCATATTCTGCTTTACAAATAACCTTTTTTTTATTTTAGTTTTTTGTGTAGTCTGATGTGTTTCCTTACTTGGTAAAAATAATCCTGGTTTCATTATTACCCCGAATATTTGTGATAATCATCATAATGGAGAAGCTCTATTCTATTCTGTCTCCCTGCTCCTGTTTTGTTTCATGAGGAGAGCTTCATGCAGCCCAGTCTGTCAGGGTATTTAGTCAGTAGCTTTGCTTTTCTTCCTGTTTATGATCGGATGTTTTGCTGCAGACAGCACTCTGTGGAACGTCTGTTTGAGATTTCAAACACAGTCTCAGCCTAAAAGGCGTTATAGTGCTGTTTATTTATACCTTGGTGCATCTGTTGGATTTTATTATAATGTAATAAAAAGACTGCAATCTTGTTATAATAGAGTTTGCTCACCTGGTTTTTCTTTTCCATATTGATAGTTTGCTCTAGCTGCAAGTTAGAATTTACTGTGCATTGTATTTTTTTATTCAGTACAAAATTGATCTAAATGCTCAAACATGAGTTCAACCATGTTTATATTTGGAAATAATCAAAGCAGATTGAAGGGATTAACAAATCCTGGCATTATCCTCAATGTTTGACCAAACTTTCACCCTTATTTTTTGATTTTCCTACCCTAGATTCTGCTTGTATTTATGTTCAATACGATTTCTATAGCTGCTCTTTGTAGGGTGATCTGTTCTGAAGCCACAATGTTTGACAGATGTTGCAGTTTCATTAAGTTTGAAAGCCTCATCTCGTGTGCTCCAGACATGTTTTTTGTTTGACCTTACGGGTAAATCTTTATCTTGTCTGGCCTGTAAACATTTCTCCACACATCTGCATGTTTCAGTCGTGGTGCAGGTTGCCCATTAAGTCCTGATGCTTGGCTGGTTTTCCTGTCGACAGTGCCTCTGGTGTCATTGTTTCTTATGGTTCTTCTTGGTTCTTGTGCTTCTCTTAGACATCTTATCAGTTTTCCCTGCCTCTCAGGAGGTTAGATTTGGTCAGATGGAGGAAAACTTGGGCAGAAGTTGGCATTCCAAAACAAACACCTGCTGGTTTTGGGAAGCTTCCTTTAAGCTGTCTGTAAAGTCTCCCTGAACTCCAACATAAACCGTACCAAACATTACAGAGAGAGAATATTGTTAATGGTAGCTTTAGGCAAAGCTTCCTGAAAGGCATCTGTCCAGATTTTAGTGCAGCTGTATGAATAAATTTTTATCTTAGATGTATTATTTCCAACCTGTGTGAATCTTTACTTTCACGCTAGAGCTGCCATTTACTTGTTGTTTTCACAATATTTGATGTTTTATTTTCCGTATCACTTAAATTCTCGCATAAACTCGATTGCTTATTTGGTTGACTAAATAAAACGCAGTATTTTTCTTTGAAATATTTATGCCCCTTTTTTTTTATCTGTGATTTTATTTATTTATTTTTTAATGCTTGATAAAGACATCTTTTTTTTACCACAAGTAACAGCCATGTTTCACACCGCTCTATACCTCCAAGGGTTCAGATGACTGCCTGGTGAAGATCTGGGGAACAGATGATGGCCGACTGCTGGCCACCCTGCGGGGACACGCTGCAGAGATTTCCGACATGGCTGTGAGCTACGAGAACACCATGATCGCTGCCGGGTCGTGTGACAAGACCATCAGAGTGTGGTGCTTACAAACCTGCGCCCCTTTGGCTGTCCTGGAGGGGCATGCTGCCTCCATCACCTCTCTGCAGGTAGGAGCAGTCTGAAAACTTAGAAAACCTGATTATAAAGCCAGTGACATTATTTAAACAACTTGCCCTCTTCTTTAGACAACTCTGACCTTTATCAGTCCCAAAAAAATCAAATGATGTTGCTTTTCCTAACCTGTTGAAATCAAAGTCTGTTAAGCTGAAGAGAGATAGAATACACAATGAAAAATAAAATGGGTGTTGCATTAAAACAAGAATTATAATTAACAGTGCTCTTTGTCTGGCATCATATCTTAATCTCCAGCTGTGTTTTGCCTTTTCTTTGCACCTGTTTACTTAAAATGTATAAACTGGTTTGTTTTATGGCTCTAATGCATAAGAAATCCACTGTATTCTGCAAATATCTCAGCTAGAGCAACATACAAAACAATTAGCGCTTCTTAAACTCAGCTTTCAAGCACTGCTTTTATTGGTTTGTTGAAACCAACACCAATTTAATGACGAGATCAGAAGTCTAAAGATCATGACTCATTTAGTTCTTTATGTTTTATTATTTTAGGGGATTGAGGGGTTGTTTATTTTTTCAGAAACTATAATTTTTTAAATAGCCTGACTTGCTTTTGTATTCAGAATCCATTTACCTGAACCAACTAAATTATTTCAATAGATACATGCAGTTGTATTTGAAAGCCTACATACCCTTAAAATGTTGCTCAAACAAAATGTTAGTTCAAAAGCTCCATCAGGTTTGTTTACTTATTTAGTTAGTTGTGACTCTCAGTATGTAAAACAACGTTAGTATAAATCCAGGTGTTCTAAGAAGACCTAATACTCCTCTTTGAGGACTTTAGCAAACAAGCAAAGAACACTTTGTGGAGAACTAAGAGTATATAAAATATGAGTTATAATATGAGTTATAAGTGGAAGTGGATACAGAGATCACACAAATCAGATATTGATTAAGTTGAATACATTAAAACTTAATGAGTTGATAAGAGTATATTTTAAAATTCATGTTTAAGGCAAATAAAAAAAGTTCTACCAAAAGATATTCAAAACATATTTTCTAAAAGAAGAAGTGGGTATAACTTAAAAGCATTAGATATTTTAAAAAAATCTAGGTACAGAACGGCGATAATGGAGAGATGTGTTTCTGTTAAAGGTGTTGATTTTTGCAACAAGACTTGAAGGGCACTTTGAGTCGAGATGACAGTAGATAGGCTGATGTATAATTAGTTTTTTTTTCATTGTTGTTGTTTGTTTTCTGTTTATTGGTGAACATGGTATTTTTTTTGCATGGTTGTATTTATCTGAGTTTGAATAAGTATTACTTTATTGAAAATGGGGCAGATATACGTCTTTTACCTCTTTCTGCTCCTTTTCTTTCATTCATGATTTCAGTTGTCACCTGCACAGGTTTTATTATGTTTCCTTTTAATGAATGAATGAATAAAATAGATAAATAAATATGCAATGCAGATTTAACAGAACACCATGATTGCCTTGCAAATGGAAAAATGTAGTTTATTTATATAAATTAACAAGCCGGCTTCAATGATCACTCTGGAGGTACTGCAGGGATCCACATGTAGTTTTTCTTAACAATCAACTTGACAACCATTACTTCAAATAAAAACAATAGTCCGTGTGGCTAAATTTGAATATTAACATGATGGTATAACATGGTATTAACTTAAACACATACGTGCAGAAACATGTATCATTAGGAACAGAGTTTAATTTGTTCCAACTGCATCTGTTTTCATGAAATTGAATGCGTTGGTCTGAAAATGAATGTGACCAAAGTGAAACTGAGTTTAATGTTTGAGTGGAACGGATGTCCTTAACAATGCCAAATAACAATGCATAACAAGCATCATATGAAACAATTCAGGGCTAATTGTTACACCTATGCTACCTGTAGCCATTAGCTACTGACTCTAAATAGCCGCTGCTTTGATATCGGCCCATGTTTCCTCATTCATATTTTTGACTTGGTGAATGACAGCTTATACGTGTTTGAGGCTGGTTCAAGGTTATATAGAGTTTTAAAGAAAACGTGAAACAAATCAATGAATCTGTGTTTAGTGTGTGACCTAATGGCCCAGATTTCTTACACAAAAACTGAATCTGTGAACTAAAATTAAATCATTAAACTGAAAGTGAAAATAAACTTACAGAATTTTTACAGTAAAAGAAGAAATTTGCATTTTGAATATAAATGAATCAGTTTAGATAATTAAAATCAGCTTCAATTAAGTAAAATAAAATTCAAACTCATTCATTTGATTTTAAATGACATGAGAACATGATCAGTTTGATATGCGCTGTCTTTGACAGTACTCACAGGTCAGGGGGAACAATCTGTTGACAGCACAACTGCCATGGTCTGCAAATTTGACCTTATTTTGAAGAGTTTTAAAAGAAAAGTTGAAATGCAGAGGTAACATACTGAAATCCATGTATTATGCTTCATATAACTCAAACACCAGTTTCTGTTGGTATACTATCTAAATTCCATTAAAATAAATATTAAAGTGTTTTTAACATGAAAAAGTATAAAAGATTTCACTGTCATTGATATGCTCCCCAGTAACCAACTAATTGGTTTTCATTGCAGTTTTCGCCTCTCTGTAGTGGCTCTAAACGCTACCTGTCCTCCACCGGAGCCGACGGCACCATCTGCTTCTGGCAGTGGGACGCTCGCACACTCAAATTTGGGTGAGGAAAAGCAGTCACGTTATGCTCCTGCAGAAGCGCCACTCGTACTGTCTGTAGAAAGCATTTTACAGACCTGCCAGTCCTTTAGTTTGTCTCCAATCTTTGTTAACAACATTCATTAAAGATGATCAGCTTTTATGAAGAAGTTGTATAATTCTGCACATTATGAATTATTCTCTTGATGTTTCTGCAGCCAGAGACCCAGCAAATTCACAGAGCGGTCCAGACCCGGCGTCCAGATGATTTGCTCCTCCTTCAGTGCAGGTGAAGTCAACCTGCTTTTATTAACCAGCAACATTTTAAACCCTCTAGCTGTTGTAGTTAAATAACACTGACTGTATAGTAGGTGTGCAGTGTGTGCTACAGTCTGATACAAGCTTTATATTTTTTAGCTTAAAGTTATTTAATGTTATTCCACTCAAATTAACTAAAAATGAATCTATTAACCACTTCAAGTCCTGTTTTAAAAAATTGAAAAGGCTCATTACATTATGGTCACTTAAAAACCTGCTGGTCATCTTTAAATGTTTGATCATACCTTTCAAACCCTCTCTACTCTGATACTCCTAAATATATTACAATGCAATGAACCTAGCTGCTAAAACAATAATAATATCCCAAGATCAACGATCTCACAGAGGATCGTTCAGTCTGTGGTGTGAAAACTGAGAAAGTATGATACGACTGCATGCTGTTCAACAGAAAAGCTGCTAAACAGCAAAGCATCTCACAGTGGAGGAGCTACAGAGAATGGAAAAACTACTGACAGGAGAACAATAAGCAATGATATTACATGTAGGGACCCAGACTTGTAGAATTAGAGGCTTTGGTCAGATGGACCAGACCTGAATTAATAGGACACTATTTAAAACTAGCCAATGATATGGAAGGTGTTATGGAAATGCCTAATGGAGTTATTGAAACCCTGAGGTTGGAGGCTGCTCCTTTGTCTCTGTGTCCAGGTGGGATGTTCCTTGCCACAGGAAGCACTGATCACATCATTAGGGTTTACTACTTTGGGTCAGGTCAACCAGAGAAGATCTCTGAGCTTGAGTCCCACACAGTGAGTCCACATGTTCATTAAATCTATTTGTTGTTTTTATGGTTTGTTAAATATTTGTTTTATAACACCATCTGCTAACAATGAGAACCATGATATTTTTTTTGCAAGTGAACGAAATGTTAAAAGCTGTGGATGAAAATATAACAATTGGTCTTAATTCAAAGGTGTCATTTGCTCAAAGAAATTTGGGCGGGCTTTCTGATATTTCTTTCATTTTCCCACATAGGATAAAGTTGACAGCATCCAGTTTTCACATTGCAGTGACAGGTAGGTTTGTGTCTTTGTGCTCCATAGATAATATCAGGTGTTGATATGCAGCGCTGTTTTTAACGGAACCTCTGGGTGCTGCAGCTTGATGGTGTCAGCAGAATCAGCCACCTAAGTTAATGCTTGATAGATGCTGTTATACACACTATGTATTACACACAAGCAAAGGCGGTGACTTATTTCCTCACTTAGTTCTCCGATGTTGAACCAAATGTGCCTGTATGGGGTTTGCAGAAACAAAATTGCTTATCTGTTTTTCCCCTCAGCTGTCGTAATCTCAGCTGTGAAAAAGACATACAAAAATGCAAAAGCTGTAGAGGAAAGCTACCAAAATAGATTTTGTTTTTTTTGTCTGAAGTGTACGTATTGGAAGAATGATTTATAGTGTAAAGCAGAACTTTTGTTCCCTTTCATGCATGTTTATGTATTGTAGGTTTGTGAGTGGCAGCAGAGATGGTACAGCTCGAATCTGGCAGCTGCAGCCTCAGGGCTGGAAGAGCATTCTGCTGGATATGCAGACCAAACTGCCTGGGTAAGTGTGTGTGTTTCTGTGTGAGTGTGCAGCCAAAAATGCTTCAGATGATTTTACAGCCTTAAGCGGTTTTGTTTCTGTGTTTATTTATGTACAAAAAAAAATGTATTTTTCTTGGGAATGGAGGCGCCACTGTGACTGGGTTCCTTGACCTCTTCAGGATGCGCTGTAGGTTAATGCTGGTCATCAGAGACCATTCTAAAGTGAAATAAGGAACAAAAAACACTCTAAAATTAATTATGAAATCACTCCTTGTAGTGTATTAGATTCTTACAACATTACAGATATTATTTAATGTAATCCAACTAACTTGAATTGACTTAAGGCCAATTTATTTTTCTGACGCATAGCCTATGCAACCGTCCAATCTGTCTCTGTCCCCTGCGCAGAGGTTCTGCAACGGTCGTCGCCTCAAAAAGATCATGACTACGCGTTGGACAGTTTCAAACCCGCACAGACCTCAAGCAGAAGTCGAAAACAAAAAACAGCTGTGATTGGTCCTTGGTACGCCTTTCCGGCTGTCTCTGTGGTTTTTCATCTCGATCCGGTGCGATCTGCCGAATTTCTCGCGAGTTCTCCATTAGGCTCTTCCTTGCGCTTTGGCGGGAAACTGCTGTCCATCCCTAGAAATTCCAGCAAAACTGGCTTGCGACCAGACCCAAGCGACTTTTGATGTGTGCGGTTGCAGAACTCTAATCTGCCCTTAAGACTGACACAGAGTGCAGACACTTTTCTTCTAAGGTATCAAGATTGTTATTGAAACTGGGGCATTGGTTATACCTCTGCTTTATTCTGATGAGCCTTACTGTTACCTGCTGAGAAGTGTTGTTCTCACTGACTTTCCTGCAGCCTAAAATACGCAGATGTTAGGGGTGTAAGAAAAAATCGATTTGGCGATGTATTGGGATTTTTGGCTGCCTGATATAACATCGATTTTTAGTTCCTAGTATCGATTTAAAAAAAAAAAATAAAAAATTTATTTCAAACAATGCATCAAAATGGGCTTCCTCTGCATCGCCACTAAGGTAGATAGTGATGTGGAGCCCTTTTGCTGTGCGGGGCAGCACCATATCTGCAGGGTAGTCACAGTGGAAGATGTGGACTGACTCAAACCCCAAAAAACATGGATGCCAAAATAAATAATGATCACTATCTTTTGATGAACATATACAGCAGTTGATTTATCATCTATACCTTTAATTTAGATCTTGAAAATTGTGATATATTGTAATATCGTGATAATATTGTATTGCAACCCAAGTATTGTGACATGTATCGTATCGCAACAACCATAGCAAGACTCATCCCTAGTAGATGTCTGCAGAAGATCCTCTTAAAAGTGTCTTTTAAGCCTTTGTTGATATTAATAGTAACAAAGCATGTTTTTTTTTTTTTGTTTTGTTTTTTCCAAATTACAGAAAGCTTCTGTTATCATGACCTAATGGTATTTGGGATTGCGCACTAAAGTCTAAAAGGTTATGCTTTTTTGTGTCCAAAAAATCAAGCTAAAGCCTGGGAGGATCAAGCTTTAAATGGTCCAGTGTGAGGAACATCTAATTTCTTGGTTATTTTATGCTATATTCTGTCTTTTAACATAGCTCTAGACTTTCTGTTGATTGTTTAAGAGGCAGGAATGTATCTTTAAATATGCTGTCTCACTACGTTGTTGTCAAATAAGGTTGCTGTTTCTTCCACTGCTGCTTCCTTTCTATGCAATGATTGCCAGGTATGGTTACCTGACTATTAGTGTTTGGTCGTCGATGGTCATAAATCGGACCATAATCTAAATGGTTAAATCTGAATAATTGATGAGCAAATTGAGCGATGAACTCTAGGTTTTGAAAATTGAGAGAAAAACACACAGGAAAAACTAAGCCAATCAGACTCGTTGAAGATTACAAGCTTCTTCCATAAGAATAAGGCTGGTTTTTAAACAGCTACCTCCCCAGCATGGCTGTTTCTAAAGATGAAATTTGCTGTCAGACATAAAATGTACTAAAGAAAACCGGTTCAAGGAGGCAGGAAATAGCAGGTTAATGTTTTTGTGGCTAGGTAGCATCAGACTTTTCTGCAAGGTTAAGCAAAGGGGGAGGGGAGGTATTGCTTGTTTTGGATCCAAGATGAAGATTAAACAAAGTTTAGCATTTACAATTTTTATTGTTCTCTATGGCAGCCTCTCTGTTTCTTTTCTGCAAACTGATTCTTAATATGTAGGAACTGTATAGGTGAAGGATGCACAATTAGCCTTTTACAACATAACTGTAGTTTGAAGTTACTGGTTGGGCTTTGTGAAAAGAAATGTTAAAGACACTTTTGTAAGAAGTAATATGATTTAGAGGAGATATTTTAAGCTGTCGTTCTTAGCACTGAAGGTAGTTGGTGTTGTAAGACGTAAGCAATAAGCCTCTGCATTGGTTCCCCAGGAAACACGGATACCTTTGAGATTTCAATAAGGATGAGGCTGTTTCTGCAGCCAGCATATTTCATGACAGACAGGCTGGGCAATTCAGACTACCCATTACTCTGCTTTTTCACCATTCAGCCTTCTTGTTACCTCTGGTTGGCTCTAGTTTCAGTTTAAAAAAGAAGAGCAAATTGATGAGCACCAGTCAGAGTCCGCCTCTCTGTTTTGGCAGCAGATCTGAACAGCCTACAGTGTGGAAAATGGTTCTCTTTTTCAAAAAACTTTTACTTCAGATTTCCCCCTGAATTCAGTTTGAAAAGACTCAATGAAAAAATGAACTTGAAAGGACAGTCAATGTTTTTGGACTTGAAGTGAAACTTTAACTGTCTGTAGCTGAGATGTAACAGTGTCACTGAGAAACAGCTGGTAACATACCAGAGAAAAAAGTAATTCCGGTATTGTACAGAGGAACAAATTATCAAAGATTTAAAGCTAGAAAAATGATGTGTTTTGTTAGACTATTTAAACAATGTTAAAACATCCAGGATTTATGTCAGACATTGATATTAATTAGGACTATTTCTTGGCCACTCTCACTTCGCGAGGTAGGTGCAGAAGACAGTTCTTGCGAACAGAAATAAACATTTTAGGGCAAGCAAAAACAGAAGAGAGGCAGCGGTTTGCTTGTGCTAGCTTAGGAGGATGGCAGTGATAGATCAGATAAGCCCGTCAGGCAGACATTGCATCAGAGCGGTGTCTCAACTGGAGGTAGGACCACAAGACTGTCCTTCTAGGACTAAATTAACACTCTTCTTTAAAAGCCACCCACAAAACTCTTAAGAGCATTCTGTACTTCATTCTTTGTCTACATTATGTTCTCTATCCATTTTGATAAAAAAACAAACTTGCCTCCTTGTTTATAACAGCTGAGCTAAAGGGGTTGTGTTGTGAGCCTGAGCAGGTGGTTGCGCTCTAGTTACACATCAACAATATATACAGTATATAGGTCTTATAAATATTTTCCATCACTCATAATGGCCCAACGGTTTACTTCTATATTTTCAGCGTGTTGATGAGCTGTTTAGTTTCTGTTTACAGGAACTTTTTCTGCACCTTTGCAGTGGAGTAACAGTAGCCATTAGATAGTCCTGATTGACATTAAGTCTGACTTAGCGTCGCAATAAGGTCTTACTTAGCACCGGGAAATTAAAATATTTAAATGGTCTAACAAACACATGCATAGTTTGTATCTTCAAAACCTTTAATAATTTGCAGCATTGTACAGTACCGGATCTACTTTTTCTCTAGTACATTGTTATTGAAGTAAAAAATCATGCAGCCAGTGTTATTGACATTATTTCTCTTTTCCCTCAGGAAGTACAACCCTCCTCCCTTAGAAGATAAAGTCACTAAGCTGAAGGTTACCATGGTGGCCTGGGATCGCCATGACAGCACTGTGATCACAGCAGCCAATAATTTGACTCTGAAAGTGTGGAACTCTATCACTGGGAACCTGGTTCATGTCCTGATGGTAAGAACCGCTGAGCATTTAAACTCTGGAACCAATTAAATGTCTGCTTTGTGTTGTACAGTTAAGTTTTACAATTAATAATATATCTGTTCTTTACTAGATCCTAAAATATTTACAAACTAACCACACATTTACGAAAAACACAACAGATTCAACATTCATGTAGGCAAAATTCAAAGGATTTTGTATTCAAATTTTTTTTTTTTTTGCAATAACAGTAAAACTAAAAACACAAAATGAGACAAACCTTTTTAAGCTGCTGTTTTAGGCAGTTATTTCCTGTCTGCCTTTATCTGGTTATACCAAGTTTTGGTGAACAGCGTAGGCCCAAAGTCCTTTATAAAGTTACTGTTTGCTTGAGCCAGTTTTGGCTAATCTTTAGTCTATTTGACTTCCCGGTTCTTTGTGAGGAGTTCCTACACAGTCCGTTTCAACTGTGACATTTATTTGCTTTTTTTCCCCATGGAAACTCAGTTTAAAAAAAGCTTCAATATTTTTAATGCACTGTACCATTTTTTTTTTCATTTTTTAAAGAAAGAACCCTTAATAATACTTAACATGTGCAGAGGAAATTTGTTTAATTTTATATTTGCGATAATATAGATAAGAAACCTGTTTCCCTGTGTAAGAAAATTATTGCTGTTCTCTAGAATCTAAATGCCCACAAACAGGAAGTAATGACTGATATAAAAGTAGATCTATAAACCATTTTCACAATCTGTAAATCTGACATGTTTTTCCTTTGATCTGTCAAACTAGGCACTGAGTCTAGATTTATCTCCATCCATATTTAGAGATTAGATTTCTTACTAAAAGCACTTTCTTTCAGAATACAAAATATGTCTATTTTACTACCTGATATCTTCCTGGAAAACTCTAAATCCAGTTAAATTGGACCCAGAAGTCATAAACTGAGCAAATTCTGACATTTGTTGCTGTGGGACAATAAAGGGCTATTCTATTCTATTCTATTCTATTCTATTCTATTCTATTCTATTCTATTCTATTCTATTGTATCCCAAACAAAAATAAGCTACCACAGTTCAGACTGCAAAAGAAAAATAACCTACAATTAGTTCCATATACTCTGTGTAGTTCTCTAATAAAAAATAATAAAAGTGATCTGACTTGGTTCACAAGGATAATGCATTACTACACTTTCTTTATTTCTGCTGTATCATTGCAGGACCTACAGATAATGTTATATTCAGTTACATTAATGGCCTCATGCTGGGACTGTTCATACAAACAAATTAGTTCTTAAGTCATTCCTATGTGATCTAGGAGAAAATTACTCATTCACCATTTTTTTTCCTATTTTGAACCTTCTCTTAGGTATAAACAAATTTTACAAATGCTCCTCACTTGACATAGAAGACTTGCACAATCTTTCAGCTCCAAATCTAGTGTTTACACTAAATGGCCACATTTGTTTACATAGAAGCAATTGTTAATTTTATTAGGCTACATCATTATATATCATGTACACTACCGTTCAAAAGTTTGGGGTCACATTGAAATGCCCTTATTTTTGAAGGAAAAGCACTGTACTTTTCAATGAAGATAACTTTAAACTTGTCTTAACTTTAAAGAAATACACTCCAGGGGTTGACGTTAAAGATTTTTACCACTTGCCCGAAGGGCAAGTGACTTTCACATTTCATTTGACCAGAAACAATTTTTACTTGCCCAGTATAATGTTTGATAAATATAGTTCCTAATATTCATTTTTGTATATATATCAATGAAACATGTTTGTTTTTTTTTATGTTTTTTGTAATTCAGTATTTTATAAGTTTACAGGTTCCTGATGTGTATATGCATGCATCAGATAATGAACTCGAGCCTACATTATCGTGTTAACATGCTTTTCAATCCTTCCTGCACATTCTTTTCAAACTAAACTTTGCTTTAAACTGTTGTGTGCTTGGAAAAATATATATATTGTAATTTTAAAAATCTAAAAAAAAAACTTGACAGGTTAAAAACTTAAGATAAATCACAAGACAGAAGTCAATGTCACAAATAAATAACTTTTATTTTAGAGTCACGGTTTGTTTATACAAGATAATACTATTAATATAATGTGACTTTTCTAGAGAATCATTATACATAGTTATTTTATACAGGGTTTCCACAGTCTTACATAATTTCAGAATTCCCTGACTTTTAGCTGACTCAGGATTAGTTTTTCCTGACAAAATAAATGCAGCCGTTTGTTTTTTGGTAACTACATCAAAATTACCGCTAGGTGGACAAAAATCACGCAATCTGGCAATCTGTAAAAGCACAACTACGTCTTTTACAGCTTTTATAATTTATTCCCCACTGCTTGGCTTGTTACTGGGCTTGTAATTATGCTGCTCGGCTCTCAGTCAACAGAACTTAACTGCAAACCTTTAAAGTTTTTTCTTCTTTGTCTTCAGTATCATTTCTATGAATGAACAGCTGCGTGTTCATTCACAGAGGCGTGCAAATTCATAGTCCTATATGGAATTTTCTGGGTGGTGATTATTCAAATGTACATTTCTTGTTACACATGGGCACTTAAGCACATGTTGAGTGCATCAAGTTCACAAGGATCATTTATGATCATTTACTTTAATTAAGAACGTTTGTGGAATCTGATGTGTCGCGTTCATAAAAGCCCACAATAGGAGAAAAAGAAAAAAAACTTGCGGCAAGAATACAAAATGTTGCATCAGGCCCAATGTTTTGTACAGAGATGTACTCAGAATGTACAAAAAAAATATTGAAAACTATTAATGTCCTGTGGCTCTTTGATGGCAAAATTGGCCCAAATCATTACTCCTCCAACACTGTGTTTAGCACTTGGTTTGATGTGTGTGTGCTGACATGCTTTTTAAAAAATCCCTTTCAAAACATTTTTCTGTTGCACTCATTTGTCCAAATGATTTTATCCCAGGACTTTTGTTCTTAATTGCAATACAGCGTTGGTGTGATACTCTGTTAAGAGAGAAAAGCCCTTCTATCTACTACTCTAAGATGCCTTTGAGTCCTTTTTTGCATTGGACATGCTAACTGTAGTCTGTTGAGTCTTTGTTGGAGCTCTGATGTTTTTAAATATGTGGTCTGCGCCTGGGGGAAATGATGGTATATCCAATTCTGAGAAGACCAGTAACAGCCGAAGATGTGCGTCTAACACTGAATGATCTTTTTGATTGTAAATGATTCATCTAAAACTAATGAACATGAGTTCATAGGCGGCAATAATTGCTTTACTGGGATCATTTCTGTTTTATTTCCATTATGGCTTTTTAATAAAACACACATTAAGACTATCCAGACAAACTGACAATGAAACTTTATTAGGGCAGCCTCTTGTCCTCCTAAACTCTATCTAAGGAGTGTATACATGGTTTTAACAGATTTATTTGTTTTGACCTTGTTTTTGAAATGGATAAGCTTCTGCTGTATGTTTTTTTTTTTTTTTTTTTTTAACACCTTTTGATGCATTTTAAATTATTTTATAATCTGAAGAAATTTCAAATCTTACTGTATTTGGCATCAAAATATAAGAGATTTATGGCAGTCAATATTGTGTAGTAGTCTTTATTACACGGCTATTACTACTGTCAGTGTGATCTCTAGGACCTAGGGTTGTCAAAAGTATCGATACTCAAAAAAGTATCGA